GTACAGTCTCCCCATCTCCAAAAAAAAGTCAAAAAAAAAGGAAAGGAGACATACAACAGTGGGTATTCGCTGGTGGTCACCCACCCAACTACTAATCCACCGATCTCAAGGTTATGTATGGCAGAGCGGACGGGATGCCCAGTTCTCTTGAGTCTATGGTCGTATGTGGTGTTTCTTCGCTTGGAGGAGTATATATACCGCTGCTAGGGGTGATGGGGGATGGGGATTTGAAGTGGGATGGATGTAGGTGTAAGTTAAGCTGAGGTAGTCGCGCGGATGGCTATCCACCGCGTCAATGAATTATATGGTCTGATTACTCAACCCCGCGAGTACGTCGGTGGCGCTGCTGCGTCTGGGTGGCATGGGATACTCGAGATGGAGGGGTTTTCGAAAAGGGGGGGGGGGTGGGTTGAGATATGAGACAGACAGAGAGGAGAGGGGTATGACAATTCCCAGCATCAGGAGCGAGACAAGGAACATCAACATCATCACATTGCACATTAGCATACAATCCAACTCCACATCCTCATTCATCCCATCCAATTCCATTTCCCACTAACCCCCCAGAGACTGAGCCATGCTGAACCGCCAGTCCGTTAACTACCAACTAATTAGCACTTGGTAGACCCAGCAATGCCATCATTTCCCCTCTCGCCAATCACAGGTAGCTTGCAATCACTTCATCAATAGACGGAAGGGATTGGGATTCATTTTTTTCTTCTCTAGTCTAAGGGGGGAGGGTTGGCCCACGGCAGCTCAAGTACAGTTACACCCAGATCAGAACCATGGTAGTTCTCATCAGATAAGTGTGTAGCGTAGGAGCCGCGCGTCAACCCCACCCCCAGCTATGTAAGCAATCCGACCAAGCCAAAGCCAGCAAGCAGATGTAGAAACGAAGAAAGATGTATAAAAAAAAGGCGTATAGCAAGTAATGCGATGCTATGCGATGCCAATCCAATTAAGCCCTCCCAACTATGCATACCCCCCCCATTCACAAGTAAAAAAAAAGCAGCAACAGAACAAACCACCCAGCGAGCAAACCAGGCACAAAGGGAAAATGATTAAGAGACGCATATGTTGTGTCAAACCCCCATTTCAATACTTATATTATCAATAAAAACAAGCAGCGAGCTCAAAATGCAACATCAAAACAAAAATATATCTTTCATCTACAACAACACCCCGCTGCTCTCCTTGTCTAAATAACAAAAAATCACATCCTCCCCACAAGCCATTCATATCTCCCTTCCTCATCCCATCCAATTCATCCTTCCATGCATGCAAACCATCCCATCACACAATCCCCGCTTATAAAGCGAAGAAAGCAACAACAGCACCGACCATCGCCAAGTTGGCGCCGAGCTTGGCACCGGCACCAGTGGAGTTAACTGGGGTCGATGGGCCAGTGGAGGTAGGGTCGGAGGAGCCATCAGTGGAAGACGAGCCACCAGTAGCGGTAGCGTTGGGTGCACCGGTGGACGAGCTGGAGACAACGGTGGTCATGGAGCTGCTCGACTCCTTGGTAGAGGTGGAAGACTCCTTAGTCTCGGTGCTGGAGACCTTAGTAGCGGTGGAAGAGTGAGCCTTGGTAGAGGTAGGTGCGACAGTGGAGGAGACCTTGGTGGAGGACTCGGATCCGGAGCCAGCGTTTCCGGTGGACTCGTTGTCGATCTTGATGCTCTGCCAGCTACCGGTCATGTCGCCGTAGGAGTACGACTTAGCGCCCGTGTTGGCATCGACGACCTTGACGCTCTTGACGACCATCTTGTAGGTAGGGTTGTTGGTCCACACAGCGAGGCCACCAGCCCACTCGACGGTTCCCTTAGGCGCGGTGGAGGATCCAGCGACCCACGAGCCGATCTTGACCTTCATTGGAGTCTGGGGGTAGCGGGTTCCGGCCTTGGCATCAGCGTACAGGAGAGTGCGGACGGCGGCGCCATCAATGGACCAGACGAGCTTCTCGGCGGTCCAGTCGAGGCGGTAGGTGTGGAACTCAGCCTGGGGGTTGGAGACGCCGTGGAATCCTCCGCGGTCGAAGGTGCTGTCGTCGCCCTTGCCGAAGTAGTTGGACTGCACCTGTGTGGTGTCGGAGCCGATCCACTCCCAGTCGACCTCATCGAGATCGTCGGACTCGAGGACGAACGAGGACACGATGCCGCGGCCGTCGGAGGCCTTCATGACAACCTCGACGCTGCCGAAGAAGAAGTACCAGTTCGACTCCATGGTGGGGGCCTGCTTCTCGTTGGTGATGTCGAACTCGACACCATCGGCGGTGTGCTTCAGGGTCGTGCCGGGGAGGGCGAAGAAGTCGCTGGACTCGCCGGCGGTGAAGTCGATGGACTTGGTGGTGCCGAGGGCGAGGTCATCGGGGCACTCTGGAGGGGGGAAATGTTAGTCAAGCCGGGACGCGTCAGCTCGGGGGGGGTTGTGAACGTACTCTTCTCGAGAGGCTGGCACTCGGTGGAGGTCTGGGCAGCGACGAGCTGGGCCACGGCAAGGAGAGCCGCAGCGGAGAAGAAGTTGGAGCGCATGTTGAGTTGATATTAATGTAATAAAGTTGTACAAAGGTCGAAATAGATTCTGGTTTAAAAAGGGGAAGTTGGTGGTTTTAAAAACGACGGTAGTTCCTTCGAGCAGTTAAAAACGTGTAAAACGAGTGTGGTGAATCTGATAAACAGAAAAGATGAGAGAAGAAGAGACGATGCAAGGGAAATGCAACGCTTTGATGGATTTGTTTCGTGGTATGGAGATGAAAGGGAGGAGGAGAGGAGAGAGGAGCTGGGAGGTAGAGCGAGACAGCAGATCTTTAAATGAAATCGGCGTGACTGAAGGGGTGGGTGGGGTGGGTGTGGGTGTTTCGAGAAACCTACACGAGGTACCGGGACAGGGGGGGTGGTAGGGGTGGTAGGGGGTGGGATGGGTACGAGGTGGTACTGGGGGGTAGGGTATGATTTGCATATGAAAATGAGGTAGATGGTACATTAATTGTAGGACAATTCCCAGTGGAGTTGGGGAGCATAAAGGGTAGAGGAGCAGAGGAGAGTAAGGGAGGGGAGTACAAAGAGAGGACAGGGGGGTGTTAGTAGTGGCTGTAGTAGTAACTGTGGTAGTGGTGTAGTGTGTAGAATGGAGTACAGCAGCGTCTTAGTAAACACACATAAACACAGAAGGGGACGAAGTAGACGAAGCAACGAAGATAGCACAGCATAGCACAGCCCTCTGGTAGCCAATACGTGGGAGTGATCATGCGAATTAAGTGGCTCTTTATTGTGTCTTTGGTCTCTCTGGCCCTTAGTAAGTAAGTACTAACCATACTAACCGTACTAACCGTACTAACCCTACCAAACTACCCAATCGAGCACCAAAAGAGTCAAAATAGGGCAAGCTCACTCCCCATCAGGCAAGATCTGCTCAAAACGGGACCAATTGCAGTAGTTTGCATGATACTAGTATACACTAGTGGCGTCGAGTTAGCGCGTTCGTAGCCAGGCACCATCCACACGATCGACCCCCAGGACTAAACCGCTTTTAGGGGTCGACCAGGGGATAAGGGTACTTCCAACAGTACACGCGATCGTATTGCATTTGGTGTGTGAAGGGTACTGTAATGGCTTCTTACTGCATGTACCCAACCACTGCGACTCCCTATAACAGCCAAGTAGACGACACACACCTCACCCTCACCCTCGTATTCCCCCGTCTCCCAGTCCCTTCTCCCACCCCCCTTCGGCTCCTCCTATTGGCTCGGCGTGTTAGATAATAAAGCCGCCAAGCCGATCAATCTGGGAGTTAGAGCAGTTAGAGCAGTTAGAGCAGTTAGCGTACCCTACTATTATTAAGTCCCTTATTGCCTTATTTGCTCCCTCTAAGCCCCAGTGCTGTATCAGTTGGTTGTATGTATCGTGGTGTGGTGTTGTGTGGTGTGTACTCTTGTATGCTGTGCGTGCATCATCGTGTGTATGGTGTTTGTTTGTAGTCTGCGTGATGTGCACTCCTCCCTCCCCTCTCCCCTCACCCCCTTCCCCCATAAACTCCACCACGCACCCACTACCACCGCCCACATCCACATCCACATCCAGTAACCGCCGCCTCCCCTTCCATCACCCACCCTCCACCTCCCCATCTCCAAGCAGCCAAGCCAACAGCAGATCACCAACCCATCACCGACGATCTAAACGTCAGTCCCCCATTTTTCACACTGCGATCAACAGCAAGTAAACAAACCCCAACAGCCTTAGCCGTACTTCATTCATACAGTTGTACCTCGCTAACCCCAAGGCACAGGGCCACATCTCGCGACCAACCGACCCTAACACTGACCGGACAGTTACCAAGGACCCTGAGATGTGAAACCATCGTAAACACACGCGCAAACACGCATCGCATCATGCAGCCAGCAGCACCAGTAACGGCGGGCGGAGGGCCGCGGAGGGCCGCGGAGGGCCGCGGGGGAGAGTTATGCCGGTGCCCTGTGGGTGGGTGTATGCTCCGTCTAACGGGTGTGTCGTCAAGCACGACTACTGTAATTACTGCTGATTACTGATTTCCCCCATTTTACTGCTGTATAGTGTTGTAGAATAGAGTACCGTATATGGCAAAAACCAGGTAAATACAATCCCCACTCCATCACCACCCATCACCCAAAAATAACCCTCCGAAAAATATTTTCCATCATCTGTGCCTCTCCTCTCCCTAACCTCCCTCCCTACCCAACTGTACCTGCCTGCTGCGCCGCATCATCTCCTCCTCCCGCCCTAACCCCCAACCCAGCCTAGCGCGCATCTCATCTACCCATCAAATCTCTCGGCGTATTTTTAACGAACTGCGGAACGGCAAATGGAATGGGTGTGTGTCTATTTTTAGGAAAACAGCCACTGGACTGGGGAGAGCTCAGTCCACACCACACGCGCTCACCGACGGGGCGTGATGATGGTGATGGTGATGGGTTGTGTGGACTGGACTGGACTGGACTGGACATGTGGTGCCTCGTATCGGCGGGAGGGAAGGTTATGCCCATCTCGGGGTGGGCGGGTGAGGATCTTTGCTTAACTTGTCCTGTCTCTCCTGTCCTGTCTGAATGGATGGTATGTCCTGCTAGGTTGTATACGACAACTACTTGCTTGCTTACTGTGCCCCGTGCTCTACTATACTGGGTATGTGTGTATGGGATTTAACAACTACGATGGTGGTATACTTAATATCGATCAAATCGCGATAAATTCAAATCTATAAGTAGAGATGGAAAGAGACAATCAATACGAACTGCACGCATGACAACCAGGTGGCAAACAACACACCCATCCATCCATCCATCCTGATCACGACAGGCTCTCTGTACAACGACGCTGCGCGCGCGAAAGACAAGACTCAGCCTCCCCGCCACCACTAAGTCCAATACCCGTCCGTCCGTCTGCCGTCTGCCGTCTGCCGTCCTACCGCAGACAAATCCAATCTAGCCATCACACAACCCATCCATCACTCACTCAATCACTCACTCACATCACCCACTCATCACCCCCATCCATCACTCACTCACCTCACTCACTCACCGTCATACCTCCCTTCACTCCAGACCAAAAGCACACACAGTAGCAAACACACCTTCACCTCATCTCCCCCATCCCGCGCCCAGACCCGCCCAGACTCTCGGTATTCGCCCTATCTGAGACCTCTCATTTCGGCGGCATGATGTTCCGCCCGGGGATGTTGGGTCTAGGTCGCGGTGCCGGGTAGGGGGGTGGAGCAGTGCCGATTGATGGCTGATGGCTGATGGCTGATACTACCCTGTGCTGTCTGTGCTGTCTGTGCTAGGAGGGAGGAGTTTGATGGGGTGGGGAGGTGAGGAGATGAGGAGAAGAGGAGATGAGATGAGATGGGATGGCAGATAGATTGAGAGACAGTGGGACGGACTGACCTCGTCTCGCCTCGCCTCGCTCTGGGCCGAAGAATGGACGACGGGTGGATGGTGACAGGTGACAACCACAACCGGATGATAGGCAGCCGAGAGACAAACACCCCGACAGACCAGACAGACAAACAGCTGTGCTCCCGTGCTCACACACACAGGTCACGCGCTCTATATCCTGCATTTCGTACACTCACTCACTGTATCAGTTGTTTGTGCTGACTGATGGTACTGTATGTAGGTAGGATATCATATTACAGAGTTTCAGGTAAGTCAGAGGAGGGACGAGATACGGAGTCATCTCACCTTTACTTTACTGCGGGGACAATGATGGTAATGCTGAGTGTCTGTCTTGTCTGTCAACGACTGACTAACGGATGGATACGTGGACAACTCACTCAGTCAGTGATTGCGTCACGTTGTGCTGTTGTGTGGTTACGGGAGGTAGGTAGGTTTAGTTGAGACGGGTGTTACTCTCTCTCTTTTCTTATTTGTTTTGTTTGCTATTCTTTTTTCGTATTTGATTTTCATGGGAATTTTATTCATGGGATTTCAATTCTTCCCCCTTCAAAGTTCTTCACTTCGGATGCCCACGCAGTAGTGTATGACAAGCACTGTATGACAAAGAGGATACCAGCATGCTGAAGAAGAGTCAATTTATCTTTTCTATTGTACACAAATCATGTCTTTCCCTTCCATCTGTCCATCCGTCAAATGCGGTAGGAATGCTGCACCTGTTTAACGCCGAGCCGCTGCTGAAATTATATATACACGCCAGCGGCTATTCATGTCTTTCATCAATCATCACGTCGAATCTTCCCTTCTCTCGTTTTTCTTCCTTCCTTCGCTTTCCTTCTGTTTCGCTGCAGTCCCCGTTCCGTTCCGTTCCTTTTGTTTCCCTTCAGTCTTCTGTCATTTCTCATTTCCCACGTGTCCTTCTCCCTCTCTCATCATCCTCATTCCCACACCTCTCAGTCTTCAATCCTTCCTTCAACACCTCTCACACACTCCCCTCCCTCTCTACTCCCCCGCCCCAAAAGCCCTAACCAACCCCATCGCCGCCCCCGCCGCCACCCCCCCCACCACCACCATCTCTCCCCCCCCTTTCACCCTCTCCCACCTCCCCCCCCCACAAACCCCCGTCTTCACCCACCCAAACACCCAAAGCGCAACCGCCATAACCCCCACACTAACCCACAACCCCCTCTCCACCTCCTCCACAAAGAAATACGGCACCAGCGGCAGCAACCCCCCCAAGAAATACGCTGATGCGATCGTGATTGCGGACGCCAAGGCGCGGTGGGGGTGCGGTTCGGGGAGACAGTGTTCGATTCGCATGAGGAAGGGGAGGAGGGAGGGGGAAGTGAGGAGGTGGGTTGTTAGGGGGGCGAGGGTGCTGGGGGGGATGGAGTAGGGTTCGAAGAGGGCGGTTAGTTCGTCGTGCAGGGTTGAGGGGGCGGCGGCGATGCGGGCTGCTGTTTCGGCTTCTGTTGCTTTGTAACTCGCACTGTTGGATATCAAGTCAGCCATTGCTCTGTCCATACACCTCATCACCCCATCACCACCACCTCCCTCCTCCACTTCAATCCAACAAACACCACGGAGATAGGAGAATAACTCACAGCTCACTCTTCGCCCCCAACCACCCACCAAGCCCCATACTTATAGCACCCGCAACCAACTCCGCCAGTCCCCCGTAAATAACAACCCTCGTATCCCCTAACGCGCTCAACCCCGCCGTCAACGCGAATGGCACCGTGAGACCATCGCTCAGCCCGATGGTAGCATCGCTTATTAACCTCGCGTCGATGCGCGGGAATGTGAAGCTGGAGTTGCTTGATGGTGTTGGCGAGGAGGGGCGGAGGGCTTCGAGGTCGGTGCTGGTGGTGGAGTAGGTGGATGTTGGTGGTGATGGCGGGGAGGACGTGGGGAGGAGGGGGGAGTGCTCTGTTTGTTGTGCGTGGGCGCACTGTGCTTTATTCGACGTCGATGTCCGGGAGTGTATCGACTGTGGTGAAGAGGCGGAGGAGGAGGAGCGGAAAAATAGGTTCTTGAGAAAGACGAGGGACATCTTGCTTTCTCTTTGTGTGGTGAGCTCGCTGGTGAAAGAAAGGCGTAGGATGCTCGATCCTGGAGATCTGAGCTGGCACCTGCTCTGACTGAGCTGTGATGGTAGAGTAGTAGTAGCTGTAGTGATATATTCTAGGTCGTTGGTTTGGTTTGGTCGAGGTGTTATGTTTATAGGTTGTTATGTTTATAGGTTGTTGTTTCCTTATTGACGTCGTCTCTTCCCGTTCTCACATCACCAACATTCGTATTTATAGGTTCCTCAGTCTCGTCAACGTAAACGTCTTAATTCAAAACAAAACCAACAATACCAAACTATCTCCCCTCCTCACCCCGGGGAGGAAAGTCCCTTTATACCCCCCATCCCCCCTTCCCTCCCTCCCCCATCCAAAAGCTCCCGGCATCCCCAATCCATCCACTCCCCCCCATCGCGGTGGTCAGCATCAATTACCCCTCCTCTCATTGGTCGGTATAGTGGGTAATATGCTCACCGCCTACCCCTTTTAGCATCGATGAGCGGTAAGGCTGCGGTTCTGCCCGCGCGCTAGTGGGGGGTGCAGCCGCGTTTTTTTTTTGGTAGGTGGTGGTGAAGACGGTGGACTCGGTGATAGGACGGGGTCGGGGAATTGGGGGGTATGTCCGAGTTGAGGCCGTTGGGTGGTATGGGAGGGAAAATAAATTGGGGGGAATGGATGACGCGGATTTTTTAATTCTTTTTTGGGGGATTTTTATTGAGGGGGTTGCTGGTTTATTATGTTTCTTTGTTTGTTTGGTTATATGACGTTGGCGGATTATATCCGTTCACGGCTTGGGATTTTATCTTTATTAAAACCATCGGGCACAGAAGCATCAGCCAGATTAGAATGCATCCCTTCCAACCGCACACAACAACACGCAAACGCATAGGAATAATATCTCTCATCTTTATCTATCCGTCCGTCTATCCATTCTATCTCCTCCGCTCGCATACCCTCTTCGAACGCCCCCCTTCTCTCCTCCCCTCTCATGCAACACTTCCCCTTCAAAGAAAAAAATCCCAAACCCAATTCCCAAAACACACCATTCCCAAATGCAACACACGAAACGCCAGCGCTCATCTCCCCCCTTCAAACTAAAAAAAAGAAAAACAATGAGTTAAAAAAAGGTTTTTGTACGACGAAAACAGGCACGGTGCTACCAACCACAGCAGTGGGTTGGGTTGGTGGACGCCGAAGAGAATGTATGTCCATGAATGGTTTAAAACGAGTAGTAGTAGTAGCTTGAAAGAAGGTTGTGGTAGCCGTTTTTTGAGTGAACGGTGAATGAAGGTGTTTGAAAACGATGTACAAGAAAATCCCAATCCGGTAGTGGTGGTGGATGGGATGGTTAAGGTGGTGGTGTAGTAAAAAAAATATTGTAGTATAGTTGTGTGTGGTGGCGCGGTGGATGGTTCCGGCCGATGAGAATGCTTGTGCGTATTGTTGTGTCAGCTTCTTGAGAAGGTGTTGAGTTGCAGCAAGCTTTTGTTTCCTATGCTGGAGCGAGGGAGGAGAGGGCGAGGTTGTGTGCAGACAACCTGTTGATTATCACCCAGCTCATGGTGTGAGGGAGTATAGGCGTGTTGCGTCGTAGGAGTCGAGTTGTCCTCGTGTATGTCTATAGGCGCGAGATATCCCGGCCTGGCGTTGGGTTCTGATATATGCAGACAATCAACGAGGCTCTACGCCACAACGCCCGCCTCCTCGCTCTTCAACTCCAACTCCTCCACCTCCCCCTTAAGTTTCGCCGGCGGCGGGCTCTGCACCCTCGTTTCCTGCCTCTGCCCCAGGCTTTCAAGCGGTAACCGCTCAGGCGAGCTCTGCGGACTGGTCGGCCTCTCCCTCTGGCTGCGTTCCTTCTTCCTCCTCTCCCCCTTCCCCTTCTTTGATCCCGACGTCGCTGGTGCCACACCCCCCTCACCAGCCACAGGCACATCCTCAATAGAATCCTGGCTCATCCTCCTCTGCGCCGCGGCCGAGAATACCGGCGACAGCTTCCCCTGCCTGTTCTCTTCGGCTTTTAGCCCATTCCCCGCCCTACTCGGGCTGGGTGCTTCACTCTCATCCTCCGCATCGCTCGAGGAGTAACTCCTCGTCCTACTAACCCTCTGCAACGGCTCAAGCGATTTCGCAGAGCTAAGCGTCTTCGCGCCCGAAATATGCCTCGACAACACCCTCATCTCCGCATCCGACGGCGTCTCCCCCCTGCGCAACTTCTCCTCCACCACGCGCCCCGTAACCTGACGATTCAGATTCGGCGTGCTCGGTGGGAGCGTACTCGCTCTACTCCCGCTGCGACTGCGAGTAATCGAGATGTTACTCGCAGACGGATGCTGCTTCCCCGACATCACGCTCGCCGACGGCGGCGGCTGCATCATCCAGCGCATCCCGCCCTTCTGGAACGGATGGCTGCTCACGACGGGGGGATGTAGGTCGTTGACCGGGGGGTTGCGAGACACGTAGTACGGATGGGTATCCTCCTCTTTCACGGTGCCGAATTTGCCTAATCGCTCCTCCATAGCGCGCAGCTTCGAGCCGACAGAGACCTGCGCTGTCGCAAAAGCGTCGCGCACGCGCCGTTGTCCAGCTTTAATCGTGTCGACGCCCCAGAGCTCCTCGTCTTCGCGCTGGTACCGCTTGCGGTTCCAGTCATCCCCGCTCAATCGCTGATCCTCCGGGACTATTGTAGGGCTGCTCGGCGCCTGCGAACTCGGCGCCACGCTGGCGGCTATACTGCTAGCATTCCCCGCGGTATTCAGCGCTCTCGAACTGGTATTCTTGCTTCCGTTCTTTCGACTCGGTGGGCCAGGACCGAGTGTGATTTCCTCATCCCAGTAGGGGTTCGTGTTGAAGGGTGACGGGTGGTGGTATAGGCCTGGCTGGTCTGTTTCCAGCTTCTGCTTCTCAGCGCGCTCGCGCTTCGCTTCGGCTTTGGCTTTGTGGCGGTGGGAGATTTTGGCGCAGGCGCTGCAGGACAGGACGTAGAAGACTACGGACTGGATGCCGACACCAAGGGACATTGTTATGACGGTATGTCAAGCATGAGGGTTCAACCTGTATCGGTGGTAGGCGTGGTGAACGTTCCTAAACAGACATTGGCCGTGTGGGAGATGTGGCCATAGGTGTCGCGTGGATGCAAGGGAACTTGGTTGTAGGACAACTTCGTGAGGGGCGAGTATGGACTAGACGACAGCCGGAGGCGAGAGGAGGAGTATATAGTATAGAGAGAGCTTCACAGTATCGTTTCCAAATGTTTCGGCTTGTTTGTCTGTCTCCTGGAACCGTGATTGTCGTCGTGTTGTATGGTCGTCAAGTGTCCCTCGGATTGTTTGTCGCAATGTTTTGTACCCTTCTAAAAAGCAAGTTTGGACAGGAAACACAGCCAGAAACACCAGTTCAACGGAGTATCTAAAAAGACACCACTGTCCCCCTTCGAAAGTGTTTCGCAATGATGCACCCAGTAGTCTGTGCCCCAAAGCAGCGATAGTGGCGTCGGGCGAGGCTGTCTTGTCGATCGAGGGGCTGAGACTCGAACAAGAAACAATTCCAGGGGTGGGCGCGTGGCAACCGCCAATCGATCGATCAATCGTGCTGCTTAGGGTTTACAGTAGGAATAACGATGTTTATTGAAAGGTTGCCGGGTTGAATTATATACACTCTGGCATATACAATTGACGTATGCGTTGCGTTGATAAGAGGGGGCCCGTTACGGCAAGGGGATGCGGGTGGTGTCGTTGATGAACAACACTCCGTTTACCGTTTCTGTCCTCGCTTGTTTCTGGGGGTGGGGGGTTGAGGCGGTCTACTGTGGATACTACTGTAGGCGAACAAATCCACCACGATTTCTCTCCTCATGGGGGGAAGATCTGTTTCCCGTGTCTCACCAACTACTTTACCTGTTCCACATCTTGAAGCTTCTCTATAAAAATAAAACCATAGCGAGAGGTTATAACCCCATCCGTCGATTCTGTGTTTACTATCGTGATTCTGAGAAACCACGTCATACAGAAGATTACTGACTATCTGTAACGTCCTAATCTCACCCAATCCCCAATCCCCCCACCGCCACCCTTACCCTTAGCACCTACTAACTCTCCCCTAGCCCTCACTAAACATTCCCACGCCGCCTTGATGGGTGGGTGTGGATGGGCATGGATGGCACCAGACAATGCTGATTGGGCTCTGCACCCCACACGCGCAAACCACGGGCCCCCAGTGGACACGCCGGAATAGTCCTCTACATCGCAATCGCCATGGCGACCTACTTGATCCGTTGAATGTCGAACCGTCGAGCCGTGCGTAATCCAGTGGCTCTGGGCGCGATGGAACGTTTCCCATGCCATCTGGATTGCGCAGCGATATGGGAATCGTTGCTTTGCTTGCTCGCATGCGCGGAATACAGCACATGAGTGAGGTTGTTTGTTGGCAGAGGGAGTGTGACCCATTTTCCTGCAGGCCATGGGATTTTTAGACCCCAATCTCGGAGCGACGAGATGCCTAAATGGGTCCTGGTCGTGGTAGGGAAAACACCACGTGTCGCTGACTGCTTCTGCGTCTAAAGTTAATCTGGATCTGACATGTCGCCTTGAAGTCTATCTGCAGCGATTGATTGCCGTCTGGGCAGTCAGCACACATTCGCATTTCACTTTGGCGTCTTGTCTTCCACATCTGCCTTACACGTCTGTCCTCACAAGTTAAAATAGTCGCCAGCGATGATGGGTATTGTAGATAGTTTGTATCCGTCACAGACCCTGGAGAGGCCAGCTATCTAGTTGGAAGGAGGCCCTGTGATGGTACAATTCGCTGCCCTACGAAAAAAATTACAAAATAGAAAATCCGCCCCAGATGTGATCCTGTCTCCTGCCCGCGCATGCCATACTTAACATACACTCTCGTCGTTCATCGCAGTCGCAGAAAATATCGTCTCCCATGCATGCTCAACGCCTTGCCCTAACTTGAACGCACCAGAACATCGTATAAAACCACACCACCGGCTCGATCGACGACAGAGTCCGAAGGGCCATTGCGAAAAAAGAACGAGCAAAGGGGATCAAAATTGAGGTCGCTTGACTGGTTGGAGTAGTAGATGTCGACAGGCCAGTGTCGAGGCCGCCACTCCCGCAGCCATCAGAAAAAAAACCCGAGCTCATCTTACGCGACCTCCCAGTCGTCATCCGCAAGGTCGTACTTGGCGACTCCGTGCTCGTTGTTGTCCACCCAGGTAAGCTCCTCAGTGCGCTGCTTTGGGAGCTTGGTCTCCGGCACATTTGGGGGAGGGGTTGGTGCCTCAACAGGCTTAACTGCCTCATCCGCCTTCTTCTTTCCCTTCTTCGGCTTGGTGACAGTGTTCCATGCAGAATCCTCCTCGATAAGTCTCAGCTGCTCCTCTTCAGATGGTAAGGTCGCATAATCGTCGCCTCCCTTTGCCTTTGGCTTCGTAGCAGCTGGCTTGGTTGCCGGCTCGTATGTGTCGAGTAGCTCCACCTGTCCATTGGCAGGCTTGGCCTCAACAGCGGCCTCGTCTGCCTTCCAGACTGAGGCGGCCGCAGCCGAGTTTGTGTATAGGCTTCCATCCTTGGCAGCCCGGCCTTCAGCTTCGCGGGCTGTGCGGCGCTGGGACTCCAGGAGCACCTTGCGATCTGTCTCTGATGCCGCCAGAGCTAGCTTCTCAGCTTCTCTCTTCTTGCGGTTCTGACGTTGCTTCTTTGTTTCGACTGGCTCGGGTGCCTTTGCTGCCTTCTTCTCCTTCTTTGGTTGAGGGTTGACTGGAGAGGTGATGCGAAGGACCGATGGGCCCTGGGAGACGGGCTCCAGCATGTCACCAACGCCACCCAGGTTGCTTGAGGATCTAGCGTTCAAAACTGGGGAATTGGCAGCCGACAAGTCATCATCGGCGTCAGCACCTGCATTGGATGAGGTGGCGGAAGCTGTGTTATCATCAAAGCTGTTGGATGCTGCGGCTTGTGCCCGGGATTGCTTGACAGACTTTTGGCGTGCCCCTGCTTGTGGTTTCGAACCGATGGCAGTGCCTGCTTTGGCATTGCTGAGCTGGCGGGCAAACTCTCGATTGTCGATCTCGTCATCATCGTCATCGTTTGAGGTTGTGGTGGGTTTAGGAGTGACATTCTGCACAGCAGGTTTGGCGTCAACCTTGACAGCCTTCCGTGCCTTTTTGGTTGTGCTCTTCTCTGACGCTTGATCTCCACTGCTCTGAGCCCCCTCGCTTCGTTGTTTCTTAGCCTTGCCATCCTTCCGTGCTTCTGTTTGCTTGGTCGCTGGTTTCGTTGGTGCAGCTTTTGTTTGCTTGACGGCGGCTGGCTTCCGATTCTGCAGGTACCAGTATCCAGCACCAACGACGGCGATGCCCGCCCATCCCCCGTAGAACGATAGGCTCGACGACATTGCTTGCAGGAACGGTGGAATAACAAGACAGTAAAGATTGCCCTGATAGGCTTCTGTTGATGGGTTTGGAAAATCGATAGCTAAACAGCGATTGAATGTAGTGAAAGTGTTTTTTTGAGCTGGAAGGCGTGTGATGAGTGTAGTGATTCTCGTTGCGTGTCCCCTTTGGAAATGGACTAATGGATTGGCACTAATCTGCGACAGCGATTCTGCCGAGGGCGGTGTAGACGGGTGACCTGATATGGTGTCCGCCGAATTGGGAAGCTCATTCGTCGTATCACCGTCCTATCAAAGTGCCCCATCAACTATCCTTTCACTAATATTTACTAATGTTTGTCTCCGCAAAGTTAAGTTAATCCGTTAATCCGTAAATCCGCAGGTTTATCCTACTATACGGAATACGGTAGTGCATAGCTCTTGCCTTACTTACTCTAGTAGGCTCTTGGTAGGTGGGGGGAGTTAAACTGGGGAATGATTGTCACGAGTTTGATAGACAGGCGCCTTACCCCTCCATAACATAAAGTAAGCAACTTTGCGACTCTGAGTCTTTGGACATCTATATATTGAAGGAAGCTGCTGCTATTGCGGAATACTGTGCCGTTATTCATTACTTTACTTTACTTGTATAAAACACTAGAGAATACAAGTGACAACCAGCACTTTCACGAACATGGCGCCCCAGCAACGCATCATTATTGACACTGACCCAGGTAGGCAGCCTTTCGACGCGATGGTATGCAGGATCCCTTTCTAACTGTGCTGAAGGAGTCGACGATGTCCTTGCCTTACTCTTGGCGCTGTCAGCCACGCCAGAAGAGTTTGAGGTTCTTCTCATCTCGGTGACATACGGAAATGTCGAGCTCGACAGGTATGGCGATCCAACACATAACTAAGGAACCGCGTTGACAGGCAACAGCTGCCTCAAGAATGTCGTGGCATTGTTCCACGTCCTCGAGAAAGAAAAGGAGTGGAGGAAGAGCAAGGGCCTACCACAAGGCTTCACCACCGCGGAGACATTTAAGCCCATCGTTGCTGTTGGTACAAGCCACCCGCTGGCGGAGGAGATTTTGATGGCAGACTTCTTCCGTATGTGCATCTGACACTCTGTGCCTTTACATAACAGCTAACAAGCAATCCAGACGGTAGAGACGGACTGGGAGGCGTCCATTCTAGCGTGAGTGTCCATTGAACAAAGTCGAGGCTGCCGTACTGACATTCACAGCATCCTCACCTGTCGCCATCCGATGCGTGGAAGTCGCTCTTTACAAAAGCTCCACCAGGATCAACAGACTCCGAAGTCGAGAAAGCAAACGAACTTGGAACCCCATCAACGGCATTTACTGCCTCCAAAGTCCCAGCATACCAGGAGATTCTACGACTACTCCGTGAAAACGAACCCGATACAATCACAATTATTGCCGTTGGGCCCTTGACCAACCTGGCGATTGCTGCTGCTGAGGACCCAGAGACATTCCTCCGCGTTAAAGAGGTGGTGGTGATGGGTGGCACGATCAACTACCCAGGAAACATTACCCCCTTATCAGAGTTCAACACCTACGCAGACGCCTCAGCCACTGCTCGCATCTTCGCCCTGACCTCGCCCTCGCCTTCATCAACCATGCCACCCGCCATGCCAGAGGCCAAAACAGCTCTTGCCCCTTACCCAAAGAATCTGTCCAAGCAACTAAAGCTCTCCCTCTTCCCCCTCGACATCACCGAGCGCCATCTCCTCCCGAAATCCCTCTTCGACACCAAAGTCAAGCCGCTCGTTGCTGCGGGCAGCCCCCTGGCAGAATGGGTCTCGGTCTTCATGAACACGACCTACGAGAAGATCAATTCTCTCACCCAAGGCTTCGCTGACCCCGGACTCTCCCTGCACGACCCCCTAACCATATGGTACATGCTGACTCAATCCAACCCGGCGTGGAAGGCTGCCCCTGGTGCACCCGAGGATATCAGAGTCGAGACTGCGGGACAGTGGACGAGGGGTATGCATATCGTCGACCGTCGCAACAGAAGGAAGTTGGGTGGGCCAAAGCCGGATGATGCCAGCGCGCAGGCACAGGTGGACCCCTCTATGCAGGGGGATGATGGGGAGGGCAACCTGGTGAACGATGAATATGGATGGTTGAATGTGTGGAAGGGAAACCGCATCAACAGGATTGCGGAGTCACCGGGAGATCTTGAATTTGCCCCATACCTGCTGAACCGCATATTTGGTTAGGAGATATCCGAGAGTATGAATCTAGATCACATATTTAGTATTTTAGAATGCCAGATTTTCAATATGTACCGTGGGCAGTCTGATTGAATCGCCCCATATCTTTTTATTTCAAAATGTAGACATTATCCTCGACAATGGCGTCCGCAGCCGCATTTATATCTGATCCATTCATATCCTCATAACGCCGTAATATGCATCAGACTTTTGTCTGTCCTGTTTCCCAACTGTCTTCCGCCGCAAATAGCCTCCCCCTGGGCAGCCCTTTATCCTGACTTCGCACTCATCATCCACCTCCTGTCTAGATTCCCGTCCCATCTCACGCCGAGTGCTTGACACCTCCAATAACAGCCCCTCGCACCTCATTCCAGTTTATGCTCTCATCCAGCTCCTCATCTACCAGCCCAACCACCGTCACATTATCTCCCCTAACAATATACAACCCATGCTCCACCTCGCTCGACGGCTCCTCGTCGTCATGAGGGCGAATAATCCGCTCCGTAGTCTGCCCCAGGACCTATTCCACATTAGCCACAATCCCCTCCTAGCTCCCCTCAATCCTCCCAATCCACCCCAGCCCAAGGCGCTCATCAGGATCTCGAACAGAACAAACATACCAAATTCGTCATCTGATCACACGACAACAACATCCCAACCAACGTCCTCGAATCACACGTCAAAACCACCACCTTCTCTGCAACCAGTTAGTACCTGCCATAGCGCACTCCCCACGGTGGCCGCCGCTGCATCATCTGTAGGGGTTGTTCCAGCGCGGGGCAGGGGGGGAGGAGGGGCTCACTATTGATATACCCCTCAAGAGACATGGTCGGCGCCAGCCGGCTCGAGGCCCGGCGAGATGGCTGCGCGTGCTACTTCTTCCTCTAACTTCCGGACTTCTGATCGTATAGCGACTGGGGAGGAGCTGTCGTTATCGTCGGCGGCGGAGGGCGTGGGGTGTGCAATTGCGAGGGGAGCTGGTGCGCTGCGCTGCCCTCTGGACATGTGCGTTCATTGGTGACCCAGCCCAGCTTTGGTGGTCCGTGCGCTGGATTTTTTCGGGAAGGGGATCGTTATCTGGATAGACGCGGACCTGGGGAAGCCAACTTCGGATGCCGTATAGACTTTGCTCGGCGCCAGGATGATTATCTCAGGGCCTACGGTCTCGAGAGCGCTTTGTAAGGGCCCGAGGCCGCTGCATTCGAGGCAGGTGCTGGGGAGTTTGGTGTCCCAGCTTACGGCGGTGTCGAGGCCGTATACAGTCACTGCCGCAGCCTCGTCCCTCCGCGGGAGCCAGCGCGATGTCGCCGGATCTTCTACCGCAACGCAGCTCGGATTACACGCAAGACCGACACCAGGGAGCTCTGGCCTACGGTCCCGATGGCAGGAACGCGGCTACGCGACCGCGGGGCCGAAGATAATCACGAAATTCGAGGAGTTACCACGGACATACACGGATATGGACGGACTGGCATACTACGCGCGCCCGCTCGCGAAGAAGGAAGTCGCTGCACTATTTGGACGGGAAATCGACCCAGTTATCGCGGACAAGGTGCTTAGAGTTCTACAGGGCCGACGTGTGGCGGGGACGCTCGCGGACCCGTCGTTGCCGAAGCCGCATCCGCAGATGGATAAGGTTATGAAGGTTACGGCGCTGAAGTGGTTGAGGAGGAATATTGTTGTTAATGAGCGGCAGAGCGCGGGGAGGAGGGCGGAGATCGAATTGGCTGCTATGGGGGAGGATGTGTCTACACCAGGAGGAGGGGGCAAGGAATACAACCCGCAGAGCAGGAATACCCCGACCAACAAGAGCGTGCTCGACGCCGTGCGAGAGGCCAAGGAGAAGGAATGGGAAGAGAAGGTCGCGAAGAGAGATGCACTGCGGGCGCAGCAGATGGCAGAGATGGGCGAGAAGTCGGGGGGACTGATGACACACGACGACCGCGGGGTTGAGCTCCGACGCCCGGGAGAGAACGAGTTGCTCAAACACTACACCGCGCTCGCTTCCAAGGTCGTCCCGGACGCGCCGCCGGACTACACAGCGTTCCAGCGCCTGTGGCCGTCTGCGCTCGTCACCCTGGCTGTTATCGCGGGGTGCGTCGTCTACTCTGGCTCGTACGTACCCCCGGCGGCAGCGGATAGGATGTTCAAGGACATCCCGCCCTCGGTCGTGACCATTGGGTCGATCATAGCCTTCAACGCCTTCATACTCCTCGCGTGGCATCACCCGCCGGCATGGCGGGTGCTGAATAAGTACTTCCTCTCTGTTCCTGGCTACCCGCGGGCGCTGGCGGTGCTGGGCAACGCATTCAGCCACCAGAGCTTCAAGCATCTAGCCATCAACATGATGATGATTTTCTTCATGGGCACACAGCTACACGACATGATCGGCCGCGGCAACTTCCTCGCCCTCTACTTCGGATCCGCGGTGACTGGCTCCTTCGCCTCGCTAGTCTTCCACGTCATGACGAAGCGCTTCCACGTCTCCAGTCTGGGCGCTAGTGGTGCGCTGAACGGAGTCGTCGCCGCGACGCTGTACTTGAATTGGGGGAATTCGATGAGGCTATTTGGGATCTTGCCGCCGGAACCGTATTCGGGGCCTACGGGGGCGTGGTGGCTCGCGGCCTGGATCGCGTATGAGGTGTGGTCGTTGAGGAGGAATAAGTTCCAGCCCAGTCAGTATGATCATTTGGCGCATTTGGGAGGGGCGTTTGGGGGGTTGGCGGCGGTGGAGGCTATTAAGTGGAGGATGAGGTATAGGGAGGTTCAGAGGAGGCGGTTGGTGGGGAGCTCGAGGGGAGGGCCGGGGAAAGGATGGTAGTGGAGTGGGGGGGAATTGTACGGATAGGGCTATAGGGGAGAGAGAAGAGACTTTGTTACTCTATATCCCCGTATAGTAGTGATTGGGATGATCGTGTAAGATATAGCAGTGTACATAGTATGGCATAGCATAAACAGAAGTGAGTATAGATAGTTAAGCCGAGTCAATAATCACAAGGAAGTTGAGCAAGTGCCCAGTAATGAGCTGATCGTCGGTTATAGGGTGTATTTTAAGTGTATCTACCCTATCTAGAGTATCTAGAGAGATAGTTTGGTGGATTTCCATGATTATAATGGAGAAGACGGGGGAATATTACCATATTGAGCCTTTTTGAGCCAATGAGTTTGTATGGAGAGGAGCTTACTCGGCTTGTGAAGTTAAATTTGTTGTCTTAGAGTGTCTTTAGAGTGCCAAGACCGGTACCTTATTCGCTGTGTGCCCTGTGCTGCGGACAAAGGTACCATTTTTACCATTTTTACTGTACAGGACCAGCTGAACTACCCTTGTCCACAGCAACGTCATGACCAAGAACCCAATTCTAACCAGGGGAGGGGAGCAACCAGCCACAACCAGCCAAGATCTCTAAAATGCCCATTGTACGGCATCTTTTCTCCTCTTTTACTTTTAAGGGCAATTAGGTCGCATTATACCCCCATCGCAACTGCCTTATCTATATTTTGACTTTTCCGCGGTCGCTCCTTCTCAAAAGTGTTATTTACCACTGACAACCGCGGTTGCTAGGTCACATTGGTGTGAGTCCTCCTCGACCCTTCCCTTTGCGACGTAAACAAACCGGCGGAGCAAGAAAGCTGACCACAACTCCAGCCTCCTTGTGTCCTGCGCCAACACTCTGACACGTCAGCATCAGCACGTACCAAGAGAGCTGATTGAGCTTGGCGGGCATCTATTTCCGTTATAATAATTGGACTCCGCAAGTTCTCATAACCGACGTTCCCAAGAACAGTTCTCGCAGCCATGAGCCACCCATCCAAAGATAATCAAGGTGGCAGTAGTAAAGACGACAATCCGGGTGCCTCTGCCAGCAGATGGCGCCATCAAGAGTCTTCCAGGTATGCCCGACACGCCGCCGCCGCCGCCGCCGGCACTGTTGGCAACCCGCCGCACAGCGAGGTCCGCCCCGCCAACGCGCACACCGGCACGAGCGACCTCACGAGCTTCCTGAACACTACACGAATTGAGGGCACAGGCCCACCTCTCGCTGATGCGAGTGGCTATGCGCCGCCGCCGGGGGGGAATAGGCCGTACCACCCCATCGCGGCCGACGGTTACGGGGGGTTTGACGGCGCGAACGAGCGCGTGGCTACGGCCAATGCACCACCGCCTGTTGGACTTGGTGGTGCTGACGTCCGGCCGACTACAGTATACGTGGAAGTTGTTGACGGGAGGGAGGTTAGCTGCGGACCTCTGTTGAACTACAGACGAATGGAGGGTAACGTATGGTTTGGAAGTGTCCTCATAGTCGTTCGGGGGGGTGTTACCAGGCCAGCGGACCACGCATGGGTTCCCGAGCTTCTGCTGAAGAAGCTCGCGCCGAGAAGACCAGAAGAGTTGGTGCAACCGGTGGGCCATATCTATGCATCGCGACAAGGCCAGGGCACAGAATATGACACTCCCATTGATGCCAGCATCAAGGGAGAGCTGCTCTACTCTGATTTGCGTAACAGATTCTGGAGATTCAACATTGCTCTCGAAATGGAGGAGCTCGAGGCAGAGTGGGCCTACCAGATTCCATTGCTGCGATTCCCGAGCGATGGAAAGACTGATCGCCAGAGCTTTTGGGTGCCTTCGATCAATGAGTCCATGCGCATCATGTTCCATTCTTGCAATGGTTTCTCGGTTGGAACAGATGAGGATGCTTGGAGTGGCCCGGCGTTATGGAACGACGTGCAGAGGGTCCACAGCCAAACGCCTTTCCATGTCATGTGAGTAGCACACTTTCCATGTCAAGACCTGAATCTAACTTCTTAGGATCGGTGGAGGTGATCAGATTTACAACGACGGCATCAGAGTCCACGGGCCATTGCGAGAGTGGACTTCCATCTCGAACCCGAGGAAGAGAAGAGAGTACGCTTTCTCAGAAACTCTACGCAAGGATTGTGACGACTATTACGTCGACAACTATATTAGATGGTACTCAACAGAACCATTCGCAAGTTCTAACGGCCAGATTCCCCAGCTCAATCTTTGGGACGATCATGATGTAAATGTTGACCTCCAAAAGCCCAAACTCATAACTAACATAGATAGATTATTGATGGCTTTGGCAGTTATGTCAGCAATTTCATGCAATGCGACGTCTTCCGAGGAATTGGTGGCACCGCTTACAAGTACTACCTACTGTTCCAGCACCACCTTCCCCCACCTGTCTCAACATATACGACCGATGCGCCTCAAACTATGAATAACGACGGTACTGGAGTTGGTGTTGACCCAGTTCAGATGAGAGGCACCTTCGTGAAGCAGAATGACCAGATGGATCCCAGCTACGTCATTGGACGCCAGCCTGGGCCATACGTCGCCGAGCACTCGAGAAGCATCGTCACTAGGCTTGGAGCAAGAATCGCCTTCTTTGGATTGGATGCTAGAACTGAACGTACTAGACGTCAAGTCAACTACCCGGAAACTTACCAGTTGATTTTTGATAGAATCTCGAGCGAACTCGCAGCGGCAGCAGCTTCTGAGAAACCCATTAAGCACTTGGTCGTTCTTCTGGGAATCCCCATTGCATATCCTGTAAGTGTCCCAAGGCAGATGTATTCTTCAGAAACTAATACGTGACTAGCGCCTAACGTGGGTGGAGAACATCCTCTCCAGCCCACTCATGGGCCCCGTCAAGTTCCTTAACAAGCGTTTCGGTTTTGGTGGAGGCTTCATCAACAGGTTTGATGGCTCTGTTGATCTTGTTGATGACTTGGATGATCATTACACAGCACATCGGCACAAGGCCGAGCGCTTGCAACTAGTCAAGATGTTGCAAGACCTCTCTGGCACTTACGGTGTTCGTGTAACGATTCTCTCTGGCGATGTGCATCTTGCTGCCGTTGGCCGCTTCTATGCAAACCCCAAACTGGGCATACCTGTTGAAGAAGACTCACGCTACATGGCAAACATTGTGTCTTCTGCCATTGTCAACAAGCCGCCACCAGCTGCTATCGCCAATCTGTTGCATCATCAAAATAAAATCCACCATCTCGACAAGGAGACGGATGAGACTCTAATAAAGATGTTTGATCGCGAGCCAGGACAAGTGCCAAAGAAGTCCTCATCGAACAAGGTTACGATGCCCAGCAGAAACTGGACTATGATCACCGAGTGCTCAGCCACCACCGCTCGCGTCAACCAAGTCCGCAACAGGACAGAGTCTATCCCTGTCCCTATCACAGAGATGGACGGTTCTGTTGACCCTGATCTAATTGCAGCAACTTCGCACACCATTGCCACAGGTGGCGCAGCGCTGACACCGGCGAGTGATGCACCGGCGAGTGATGCACCGGCAGGGGGATCTACAGTTGCTGCCACTACCTCGGGCAAGGTAAACAAGAAGGCAGGGATGCTTCCCCTTGGCCCAGGAGAGGCCGAGTTTGGAACCATAAACCGCGCTGCGGACCCCTTGGTTCATGGCTATTCTGGCGACGGAGCCCTCGATGTGGCCATCCGTGTCGAGAAGGACCAGCATGATCCTTCCGGCCAGACGCAGTCGTACGGCATCTTCATCCCGACCCTGACCATAGCCACCCCGATACCGACCATCCCCGTGCTTCGCGACTGGGCGACGAACTTTGGTGGTGGACACCGCCGCTCGAGAAATAGCCTGGGGAGCCGCTTCGGAAGCATTGGTAGCAGGGCTGGGAGCGCCGCCGGTAGCAGACCTGCCACTGCCGCTTAGTGAGGATTGAGAGGTGAGAGCTGAAGAGCTTTGGAGTGGAGGTATTCCGGTGTATTTATATTCTTTGATGGGGAGAGGGAGAGGGCTCTGAGTGCGCGTGCTTTTTTTGTTTACTGTTTTTTTTATACTATACCTAGGGAGACGGTTATGCACGGGATGATGCGGGAAATAAATGCGCTTTGTAATGCGGCGGTGGAAAGGGTAAAAGTGCAGAAAGTGTATTGTAGGCAGTACAGTATTACGTATAAATACGATGTTCTTTGTTAAAAATCGTGTGTGTTGTGAAATACAATTTGAATTGATGGCGATTTATCATTATAAGACACCCCTTATCGACCTCAAACTCCTAAGTTGATGACTTCCTAAAACCCCCATCCCACCATATCCATACATAAAACGCCATAACTCCTTGCCAGTGGCAACATCATCTATTCCTTTCTCAGCTTCGCCAGCGCCGCTGCAACACCCCCACTCAGCTCGTCCTCTTTCCTCTTCTGTTCCTCCTCTATCTTACGGCGTTTTTGCCGCCTTTCCTCTTCCATTTCCGCGGCGATCAGCGCCTCCTCGCCGCCTGAATCCGAGTCTAACTCTAGCAGCTGAAAGGGCTTCTTTGGTTGTGATTGTGTTTCCTTCTCCTTCTCCTTGCCCTTGTCTTGTGCTGTTTCTGACTCTCGCGACATTCCCGGCGATTTGGGTCTGGTATACTGATCCATATCCCTCACTGGCACCGCCTCAACTGCCTCCCCCCTCCTCTCATCCTCCCCCCGCTCCTCCCCGTCACCCATCCCCCTCTTCCCCGCCTTCACCACCCTAAACGGCTCCCTCACCACCTCCGTCCACCTCCTCACCTTCTTCTCCCCCCACCCACTCAACACCGCCACCTCCTCCGGCCTCGCATTAACCGCCGCCCTCACGCTCCCAAACGCCCCCACAATCCCCACCGCATCCGTCCTATTCACCCCCCTCGGCACCGTCACAAACTCCACAAACTGCTCCGCGTACCCCTTCGCCTGAACCCCCATTATCCCCGCCGCAGACGCATGCTCGAAGCCCTTGTACAGCTCGAGATACCGCGCCCCCTCCGCGGCGCTCCAGCAGAGGATCACGGTTACGTTGTTCACTAGCCCGGTTTTGCTGAGCTCTTTGACAGACTCCTCGTGGTTCGGGATATCTACCAGTGTCAACAGCACGCGGAGCGCGTATTTCCCTCCCAGTCCGCGGATGCGGTTATACACATACTCCGGGTGCAAGCGGTGGTACTTCAGACTCAGAAACAGCGCGCAAGTCGTGTTGCCCAGCACATAGTCCGCAGGCGTGTCGCGCCATTCCCACGGCTGCGCGCGCAGGTGCGAGAGCATGGGGTTTCCCTTCTGTCGGTGGGAGACGTAGATTGCGGAGCCGCTGGAGCGAGAGGGCAGGGCTTGGGGGGTTGGTTGGACGATCTTGGTGCTGGAGGGTGTTGTGGTGGTGGTGGGGGGAGGAGGGTCGAGGCGTTGGGGCGTGGGTTGGGTGATGCGGGTGGTGGGAGGGGGGTTGTCGGAGGCGGCTAGGGCGGCGAGAAAGTCGGGGTCGGCCCCGAATTCGTCGTCGTCGTCGGCCATGGTGGGAGGTATCTCTGTTGTTGAGGAGGTGGAGAGTGGAAGGTTGGAGGATGTGACGCAAGGCTGAAGATGGTCGTAGCCTTATGACGGGTGCCAGTTCGCTTGGTTGTGGGCCTCTTCCTCCAGACGACATGCTTGGCGCTTGCTTGACGGTTCTTAATATAGTCTGGGAATGTCACGGATTTACGTTAATAATGCTTTAAATAACGTGGCAGCGGGTGGAAGAGTTTGCCAAGTAAAATATTATCTACTCTGATAATACTCAATAAAACTTGTACAGTACAAAAACGGTATTCCTGCCCCGCTGGATTCCCCACAAGACTCTCATATTACTACATCGAAATGGAACGGAGGCACGGGTAAGCGAAAAGACCCATGATCACTCTTTTGATTCATCTATACAACTCCATTCCTGCTGTATCCCCCCTCCTGGCCATCTATTATCCCACGGCGCGGCGACCTCACCCACTCCTCTTCATAGCGCTCGTCAATGCTTTCGTAAAATATCATGCCTTAATAAGCCGTCAATGGGATCGCAGTTAGGCCGACATCAAATCAGATAACAACCCTTATATGCCAGATGCTTTTGTTCATAGTCCCGACTGATCCACGCTCATGGGGCTCCCGTCATTCTTCCTCCTGGCCCCAGCGCCCTTTAACTGGCCCGCCCTTCGCACTTTCTGCGGATTAACCGCGGCATCATTGTCCTCCATATCTTCATCGCCGTAGTTCAGCGCCGTATTAAGCACCTGCACGTTGTCTGGCCGACTGCGAAGCCATTGCATCCTTGGCCCACTGCGTGCCCGCTCACTGACCCTGAAGCCATAGATTCGTGGCTCGTACACCTTGCCCTTGCCCAAACCAGGGGCCAGGTTATGTGCAAGCATGCCATTTACCATTGGCTTCTCTTCACCATCCGCAGCCCGAGATGACGAGAGAACCTCGGTGGCCTTCTTGGACAGGTCGTAGTCCGGGAAGGTCATGAGAAAGAGAGAGCCGAAAGTCCGGCCAAAGAACGCGCCGTCCACGGTTTGGAACCGCGAGTTCGGTGGAACGTAAACGTCGAGACAGCTTGGGCAAAATAGCTTCACCGTATCATCTCCTGGCACATCAGATAGGCCTACTGGTAGAGTCCTGGCGTGGTCGCAGTTCGTGCGCGGGCAGTTTCCGAAGTGAGAGAGCTCGTACTTCTCGCTCATCTGTTGGATGCCGGCGCGAGAGCATATATAGCGCTGATGGATCAGCCCGTAGAGCAATTCGGCCGAGGATTCGATAACTGAGAGATCCGATGTCATGCGGTTCTGGCGGCGCTCTGAAAGCCGACGTGCTGCGCTTTCAAGGGACTCATCTGGATCCTCATCATCATCATCATCCTCCTCTTCTTCAGTGTCTTCGGGCTCAACATCTAGAATCATCTTGGAGGGGTCAGCATTGAAATCGGCAATTCAAAACATATGGCGAAGGAAAGACGTAATGCGTACCTCTAATGCCTCTTTATACATTGGCACTTGGCCTTGTAGGCCCGTAAGATTGAAGTCATCTTCAATAAAGTCTTCCGAAACTTCGGCGAAGTATTCGTGGCCCAGTAGAGAGCAGAACGAGGTGATCCACGATTCGGGGCTGGCAGACGAGGACGACATCTCAAGCAGGCTATCGAAGAATGCCCGATGATTTTATGCTCTCGTCCCTAAGCTTCAATGTGCCCTCTCAGCAGCGCGCTTGGTTTTGTTATACCCGATATGTGAACGTAGAGGCTTAGCGGCTATGGTATGGGAGCCTCAGCTGCAGCAGGAAGGAGGTCGGGGATCGAAAATAGAGAGTCGGTACCCTATGTCGGATATCTGAACAGTATATCGATATACTCTGAGAGATTGAGGTAGTTGTCGCTTATCTGGAAGCAGAGCTGTTTGTCCCAGCGAAGATGCAGATCGCGGATGGCGGGGTCGAACTGCGATAATGCGTTTGCACGCGCTGTAGTCGGAGGGGGGAAGGTGGTCTTGGAGAGCGCGGCTATACTTTAGTTGCTCAATAATAACAGCAAACTGATATGGAGAAGGTTCAATATAACCTCTGACAGTCGAAACGTTCGGTTTTCGCGCGTGGTGCTCTCTGATATCGCGGCTTCGCAATGAATTCCGAGCGTGGGTGCTCTCATCAGTGCGCTAAAGCGTATTTGGAAATACGTAAACGCCAAGCATAGCACGTGACACTTTCCTTTTCTGAGAAAACAAAGGGCGTCAACAATGGGTTCTTGTTCTTTTTTGTATGGCTATCTTAAAGTTATTGAATTGCAAGGTAGAAAACAAAGGGCTACTAGCCTTTTTTTAATATGCTACCCGACTGTCACTTTTGGCATAAATAAGGGTCAATTTTTAGCTACTAAGCTAGACCCGAGGAAAGGGACCAAGCCAACCTATTCTCCTCCATCAACACGCCATATGCCGTTGTTTGTTCTGCAAGAATACCTCATACTGCTCCAGTAAATACAGGTATGCTTTCCAACTATTTCACCCATTGCGGTTTCTGGAAAGAGGATATCTGGTGCTTCCTTCCAGTATCCACCAGACACTGCAATGGGAAGCCACGATGGGACAGCTGCCGTGTTTGATAGAGGGGGCAAGAACGCTAGAAATCAGGCTAAGTATAGCTTTATTTGGTCATTTTTAGCTGGGGAATGAATGGGGCATGATGTTTTGGAGGATGACGACAACACAATGCCATGTTATGGTTTATTTGTCCGAGGTTTGCGACATAAAAACGTGGGGGCGAAGCCGAAAAGATTGGTCATAAATGAGTCTCATAAACCGACAAACCCCGAGTGGCACTCTTGGTACAGCGCAAGCAATTCACAAATTTTGAACTATTAAACTGCTCTAAATATATGTATTATTTATTAGAGATCTAGAACCACTTGGCTGAACGCCAACAGAAGCCTGTGGCGCTTTTTGAAGCACAGACTCAGTATGTATGTGCGGCCGGCATCGGTGAGCTGCACCCATAGTGTCTTTGAGCAAGGTCAGGTGAGACATTTGACTCTCCGACGAAATAGGATATATATACTGGAGCGACAAGTCATTATATAAATATTGATAACTGGAAGCATATCTCCTTTTCTTGGCTTAACTGGCATTGATATTCACGTTTCTGCTACCTCACAGTCGGACTGTTTTTTGCGGCTTGAAGTCTGTCGGCTTCTTTATAACCAATTTTGGAAACAATCAGTGGTCGAACGTGCCGCTTGAACCGGTTGGTTACCTCAAACTTGGCAAATTCCTTGAAATAGTGCTCCCGAAGTGAATCCGTACTTACTGCCTGTGTCACAAGATTCACTTAGTGCAACGGAATAAGCGCCGAGTAAAGAACGGTCTCTTGAAGCAAATACTATCAGTGAATAAACCCACTGCTTATTTTAAGAATCTAGCACGCGAACGGCAATTGCATCTCCAGGTTGGTATTTGTTTATATCGACTTCAGTTACATCCCGAGGTTGATATTTGTTGATATCGGCTTCGACTACTAGATCCATTGACCACCCTCTTTCCAGGTTGATATTTATTTATATCGACCTCATTACTCCATTCACCACCCTCTTCTTCAAACACCTCACATACAGTTCCAAGCCATGGCTTCAACAGGCTCGAAGGGCTCTGGACAGGTATTGAAACCAGCCCATGTAGAAACGACATCCAGCTCACGCTTTTCAGGTTTACGGCACACGAATCTCCAAAGAAAATGGATATGATGCCAACAGCTACACATATTATCCCGTGGCCATTATAGGCGCTGGGGAATCCGGCATTGCCATGGGTTGTCGTCTCAAGGAAAAGTTTGGCTTTGACCAGTTTCGCCTTTTTGACAGGCAATCAGGTATTGGCGGGACATGGTGGATCAACAGATACCCTGGAGTGGCATGCGATATGTAAGATCTTATTTCTTAGCTTCTGGCTATGTTCGTTTTCGTGCTAATATCGCCCACAGCCAAGCCGCTTTCTATTCATTCTCTTTTGCTCAAAATCACAAGTGGTCTTCGCTTTACCCCCCTGGGCCAGAAATCGTCAAATATCTTCAAGGAGTCTGCGAGAAATATGAAATTGTTGACAAGATTCAGCTTAATAGCGAAGTTACCTCGTGCCGTTGGAACGAGGTCGAAGGCGTCTGGGAGTTGACAATACATGAACTCCTCAAAGGCGTTGGTGATCTAAGCACCTATGATCGAGTCACTATGTTGGAGAATCAAGGCGAGAGTTCAGTATTCGTCCGCTCAGAGAAAATCAGAGCCAAAGTATTGATCAGTGCAGTTGGAGGTCTGGTAGAACCAAATCGCATGCCAGAAACTATTCCAGGAGTAGAGGATTTCCAAGGCCCCATCTTCCATTCAGCCAGGTGGAGATATGACGTTGACCTGAAAGATAAGAATATCCTCGTGGTTGGGACAGGCTGTAGTGCGGCTCAATTTGTCCCAGAGCTCACTAAAACATATGAGGCAAAGTCAGTCACTCAGCTCATGCGATCGCCTCCCTGGGTGGTCCCGAGGCAAGTTCCTCCATTTGGATTCGGAGAGGAGGATTGGGAGAAATGGAGTCCGTGGTTGAATACGTACATTCCGGGATTTGCTAGACTCCGGAGACTGTATATCGCTACACGAGCAGAATACGACTGGAGACTCTTTGGGGACAGTAAATACGCTGAAAATGAGAGGGCGAAGCTTGAGGTGGCACTTGTTGATTACATGAAGAAAAAGGTCCCAAAGAAGTACCATGAGGTAAGTTTTCTGTATTCATATTCGAGCCTCGCAGCTACTGACTTCTAAAAGATACTCACCCCCAAATATGGTGTTTGTTGCAAGCGCCTAGTCATTGATGGAAAATGGCTCAATTCTCTGAATGATAAGAAGATCGTGCTTTCTACTCTTCCACTTACCAGTGTTCAGGAGGATCGGGTAACGCTTGGTCCTACCCGTGGATCGCAGGCGGTCGAAGATGTCAAAGTTGCTGCCAACATCACAGAAACTGTCCGCGCCGATGTTATAATTCTCGCAAACGGTTTCGAGACATTGAACTGGCTCCATCCCCTCGAAGTTATCGGCCGGAGTGGGCAGTCCCTCGAGGAAGTTTTCCACGAGCGTGGTGGACCTCAGTTGTATATGGGCAGCGCCATGGACGGGTTCCCGAACTTCTTCGTCATCTTTGGTCCAAACACAGTGACGGGGCACTCAAGTGTGGTGCTCGCCACTGAAAACATGGTCAATTATGCCATGAAATTGGTTGAGCCAATACTGAAAGGCGACGCTCACTCTGTGGAAGTGAAGAAAGAAGCTGAGCTGGCATGGACCGCGGATATTCAGAAGTCTCTCAAGAAAAGGATATGGAATATCGGTGGTTGCAGAAACTGGTACATGGGAGAAGACGGTTGGAACTCGACTACTTACCCGTAAGTCGACGAATCTTCTTGCATTTTTCATACTAACTAGAATCTCAGGTACTCCCAAGTGTGGTTCTCGCTTTTATGCATGTTTCCAAATTATAATCACTGGAATTATAGATACACCACCAAGGGCTTGATCAAGAAGCGGGCCAAAACAGTTTTTCGGATAGCAGCACTGACAGGAATAGCCACAGGACTGTATTTCACACGTCGGGCGGGTCTCAGATTTGGCTGGAAAGAAGGTGCCGCTTCTGCCAGAGGTGCTGCAGCGCAGCTTTTAGCCACTTTGGGGCACTCCCTCGTGAGAGGAGCTGGGTCGATCTGATGGCATTGGGGGAAGTCCTTGGGAACTGGGCGCACTACTTTAGGGTTTACCATTGCATAGCGAAGCTTTGATTAATACATCCTTTCCTTTCAATGGTTAGACATTACTTTGACATGAATAACCAAAGTTCATAGTGCTTGTGAGACCAAAGGTCTTCGTTGTGAGTGACCATGCCGAGCAGTCCACCAAAACACAATTTCTGTTTAAATAGTAGTACAGTCACCAGGACCCTGCCCATTGCTTTTCATACTTCAAAATAGAGAAAAAGAAGATGCTTTTGAATTTCGTTATGCATAGGGGATTATTTGTATAATCCGTGACTTAATTGTGCAATGTCACGGGATCGGAACTTCGCCAAGGCGCGTTTCGCCCCTTTCACCCAATCATCGACCAAGGGCCATGAGTCTTGACAGGACCCGACGACATGAGAATCATGAGAAGCACAGGCGCTGGCCTAATTCGCTATCCTAATGGTGTATTTACGAAGTCGTTATGTTGTAAATTTGCAACCGGTCCACTGCTGCGGCGTCACATAACTATCATCCACAGCAATCTTGCAGATGTCTCAGCTCGCGTTTTTCAGGAGAAAGCCTTCATCCCGGCGACCCCCATCCTTATTCAGAGACCAGAAACGATCGGTTCTACAAAAATCGCCGCTGGAGCAGGTATCCCGGCCATAGACCGATGGTTCAAGAGCAAGGAGGCCGGAGTTGGCGATGACGTGGTATTCTTTCAAGAGGAATATCTCAAGCCCTTCGAATCAACTGTGCTACCTTACGAGCTGGTAACTCCAGTTTTTAACAGCCAAAATGGCCAGGATATCCTCAGCAAATTTATTTCCGAAAATGCTTCGTCTTTGTCGAGGTATCTTCCACCTAGTGATGTAACCATCAAGGAGCTCCTGAGAGACTGTGCTCTCGCTGATAAAGACGACGGACGAAATACCTCTCAGCCTACTGAAGCTGATACCCCCTCTTCCCCAGGGGGAGTAAAACTTGATGAACCGTTGACGGAACGCCAAGTCGAGCTCCTCCGCCGTCATGCGCCGCTCTTCCAAAAATTTCACTCTTTTCATGCACCCCTGGAGCTGATTATCACCGCAAGTCGGCAAAACCCAGGCTCTACACAGTTTGGGCTTCACGGTCTCTATATAGCACAGGCGCAAATGGCAGATCTGCCTCAGCAGCTTCGAGATGATCTGCCCTCGCCAGAACTTGTCTTGAAGGCCGGGAAGGGGGATGTCTACGATGCAAACATCTGGATTGGAACACCGCCAACGTTCACCCCACTACACAAAGACCCAAATCCAAACCTATTTGTCCAACTCTCAAGCTCTAAGAAAGTACGCATATTTGAACCGCGTAAAGGGCAGGCAATATTCGCGGCGGTGCGACGTAAGATAGGCGCTACTCCCACGGCAGCGTTCCGCGGCGAGGAAATGATGCAGGGGCGCGAGAGGGTAGAGCTCAAAGAAGCAGTTTGGAACCCTTCCAACTTGGACGGCCACGAAGTCACTGTTCGGCCTGGAGATGCCCTTTTCATTCCCAAGGGCTGGTGGCATAGCATCAAAAGCGAGGGCGACGGTCTCAATGCATCGGCAAACTGGTGGTTCCGATAACTGGAAAGACTATCAACACATTGAACGACTATTTAGCCTAGGTACAGCTTGGAGGGCAGACACATATCCAAGACCGCGCTTCCTATGCCTTTGCCTCTGCCGCTGCCTTTGCCCTGGCGGCGGCCTTCATACGCTTAAAAATGCTCAAATCGAGCAGCACAGGCTCTCCCATCCATGTTGCCCGCTGCGTATGGTCTCTCTCCTCATCGCTCACATCCTTCCCGTCCACAATCTCCTTGGTGTTCGGATGCACCAGTGCGCTCAGGGGACCGCGGTTGATCACCAGCCAAGGAACGAAGGCTCCGAACTGTGCGGGCGTGAAGAGGTTTACCTCGAACATCGCAATGGGATGGGGCCCGATGGGCTTGTCCCATATTTTGTAGATGCGGAGTTCAGGGACTGTTGTGTGTTAGGGATATGACCACCGGATCTTTGGAATCGGGGTCGAAGAGGGGCAGAGGAGGGGTAAAGGGTGGCAGAGGAGGGGTAAAGGGAGGCAGAAAAGAACTGAGCATGGCATACATTCGCGGCGGATGCGTTCCCACAATTCTGTCGCAAATTTGACTTGGTAATCATTGCTCTGGAAGTAGTATATATGTACATCACTGTGTTATATCAGTTATAATGCCACACACATAGGGAAGAACGCCTTATTGTCACGTGCTTATGACTTACAATGCAGCATCCTTTCCATTTTTCAGCGGAGCAGTGAATTTGGTATAGCTATCGCTAAGCTTTCCAGTCGATGGGTTCTTGAAGCTCTTTCCGTCCTCAGAAATATCATTTGGAAGGGGTGGGAGGTCGCGATAACCCTCGAGTGGGGAGGGGTAAGTATATAGAGTGGGGTCTGCCATAATGGGAGCCAACAGGTTCTCGAGTTAAATATACAGAAAATAAGATACAGATATGCCACAAGATCTATACGGTGAATATATGGAAAGTGAAGCCTTTTATCGTTCGTTCGCCCCAGTTGGGGATTTCAAACCCATCTATAGCACCGCGGGGTATTGCGCAATGGATTCCGCTTAGTGGCGGGGTTCATTGGTCATCATTACTAGAGTATTTGGCAGCATCAGCTTGCTTCAGATGGACCTCTCAGGGTCCAGAACACCACCTTTAAATTGACGACAGCGTCACATCTGCAAGCCTTGTTCTGTCCAACTGCCGTGTATATATATTTATTTGCCATCAAATACTACGGCTAAAACCCGCGCAGTTTGCCAGATGTTACCCGTGCAGCTTCAAACCGATGATCATGCTTGGGCATTTGGTCAGCCTCTGGCTGCTACCGTTGTCTCTCTTCAATAGTTTCTTAGAAATACATATCGCAAATAGTTTACAATGACAAAATCGCATGCGGACTTGACTCAAGTCCTTTGTTGTGAGAATTCCGCTTCCGGCTTTTGAGAAACTCGATGGTTCCTTTCATGGTAGGCTCCTTTCATGGCATGCGGGCAATCATCGTAACTCAAGGTCTTTGTCTATCTCAGAAAGACATTATCATGCTCGGAGTCTATTCTTCTCCCTCGATAGAAAGATGATTTTGTTGATTGCGAGCACATAATTATTTTCAGTCCCAGAGAGTTGTTTGAAGAACCACCGTGATACGAGAATCAGAACGCCTTCGGCCTATTATCCAGCAAGACGATTCACAAGCTATGTCTGGAGATAATTGGCGGACGGATCCTAGCCGCGATGAAACGCCTTCGCGATTTGTGAGGGGGATTACTTCGACGAATTCGCGCCAATCTTCTCTAACGGGGATGACACCGACGAACTGGCGCCAACCTCCTCCAACGGGCATGACACAAAATCCCAGCACATCGACTACCGCCAATTATGGCCCCGGTGTCAGCACCATTAAATGTATACATGTATCCTTTCCCCTTACTGGAGAATTTATGACTAAACAACTTACAGTTATGGGATCGAGGACCAAGTATGAGTTTATCCCAGGCAGAATCGCTTGTATCTGGACCTTCACTGAGGACCATAATAATTTGACACGAGCCGACGTAGACCGAAAGAAGGAGGATTTACTCACCCCGGATATTCCAGGAATGAAGGCAATGAATGTGTTTGTTAAAACCCGCAAGGTTATTGTCATCGCGCGCTTTATCGACCATTGCATAACATTGTAAGTTATATACTGTTGACGGCTTGGAAGGGATCATGGAAGCCAAAGGATTGACCGAAACAGGCCAGTTTTTACGCATAAAGGGTTCGGGCTTGATTCAAAACCAGAGATGAGGGGCGAATATGTCTCTATTCGAAACAAGTTCGATGTTAATACAACCCCCGAAACGGAGCATGGATGCATTTACACAACCACAACAGCAGCAGAGGCTGGCCGTAAAAGCGTATCACCGCGTGCAAATGTTTGGTTCACATATCCCGAAGCGTTATCATATAGGAGTAGGGTTGAGTTCCTTGGTAACTTGGACCCTCCATCCCTAAGCAAACTCTGCGAACTTTACTTGATGGCGACTAAGAGTTCCCTATCAACCACACTCGCCGGGTTGGATCCTATGATGTGGAGCAATGCCCCATATAGTCTTTGGAGTGAGAAGCGACAACGCCCAGCCGATGAGACGGAGTTCGAAAAGCAGACAAGCCTAGCAAAGACGACCTGGCCCGCGAATCAAACATATTCGACGGCGGGACAGGGGCAGACTTATGCAGGTGCAGCAACCCAGAAAAGAACATCGGGGCCGGCAACGGGGCAAACAACTGGCAACGCTACAGGATTCCAACCTCTGAAGCGGGCCCGGGAACCTGAACCTTCGGATGATGTTACCACCAACCCCGTCAAAAGAGTGCAAAGGTAGGAGGATACGGCGACGGTATTGACGCGCAGAGAGGGGTGAGACAGAGAGGGGCAACGGATAAGTGCATGTTGTGGCCACGGTTTTAGGGAAGAAAACGGGCTGCTGTTTTATTTGATTTTTCAGTAACAATGTGAATTGGGTTTTGCACAGAGTAGTTGGTGTCTTTGGCTACTGTTTCAGAAGTTGGACTCATTGTCTCCAACTGATTTTGAATATTCTTTTGGGACTCTGCTTGATTGATTAGTATATATGAATGGAGAAATTTACTTTTTGACTAGTCGACCTATGTTTATGCGTGATACAGATCTTGCAAATGGGATGCCCAAGAATCCAATCAGTGATGACTTAAGATTAAAGGTGCGAAGACCATAAATAACGAACACATTCAGGATTGTCAAACGATACTTCATTCTTGAAAGCCTAAGGGTAGACAGCTTATGATTCAAAACGCGGCGTGCAATCAGAACTAAATAGCATACAAATAGAAGTAAAAACCTGAACACTGCACTGAAGCAGAAACACAGAAACAGCCCATCGCCCGGAAATAAACAAAAGACATAAGTCCCACATTGCAATCCTTTAACCATTCCAAACAAGGCATACTCTGCCTGGCCATTTCTCCTCGAGAGTGTATCACTGTCCACAGCAGTCCTCTTATCCTATCTTCCTCTTTTTCTTTTGCTGTGAAGCTTCAGTCGTTTTCTTCGAACCTTTAACCCGTGGAAAGACCCAATTTGGGTCATTATTTTCTGTATTATGCCCCAACTGAGCGTGCTGCGCAGCAGTGAGACTCAATTCGCTTCCTGGTGCAACAAATCGCGGTTCGCCTAATCCAGGCTGTCTAGAAAAAGCTGTATTGTACACGTTATTTGACCATCCGGCAGAAAAGGGAGAGGGCGGGGGGTTTACTCCAGGCCCGTTTTCTCCTGCTGGTAATAATGGCGTTTGACTGCTGTAATTTTTGTCTTTAACGATTTTAGTTAATAGTTGAAGAAATCCTCTTGTCTCTTGCATAGATCTCATCGTATCGACTCCTGTCTCATAAATGGTGCCATGCAACGTAGCTTCCGAAACCAGTGTTTGTGCAGTTTCTAATGCGGAAGCCAACTTTTCCAGACTTGTTGCTAAGAGGGCTCTTCGAGCTTCAGACCAAGAATTGGGCACGGCGATTGTAGAGTTCCAAACCCCTGAAGTGTCTTCTTCGGAACTTATATTCAACTCCCGACGCAAATGCTGAGTCAGGTCATCTACCGTCTGTCTTGCTTCGTCCATTTTTTCGCGGCGAGGACGGCCTGGGACCCGGTACAGCTCAAGCAGATAACCCAGACTCGTCTTCTGCATCTCTGCAGTCCAAGTCTTGAGCAAGTACTCCACAGAGTTGGGTTGCAAGGAGCCAATTACATGACACTTCGTTCTGTAGTCGAAAGAATCCGGGAAAGTTAACCAGAGGAGCGCCTTTCCATCGTCCTTCATATCCAGCCAATCGTCTTCCAAGTGTCGGTCCCAGCTACCCTCTGCAGTCTGTCGACCCTTGGTTCCTGGCTGTCGTCGCCTCTCGCGTTGGTAGAGGTAATCGTATGGGGTCAATTTAGATTTATTGGCACGTTCGATGCTATCTGCCGGATGGATAATCTGCATAAACTCTACACGATGCTTTTCATGAGAAACCTGTGGTAATTTTTTGGCGTAAGAAGTCCATATAGGTCTGACAAAATTAGCGGCGTCACAAATTAAATCAGAGACAACCTACAAAGCTATAAAGTGGTCTTGAAACCGTGCTACAACAATAAATTTGCGCCTCTTGGAGTAAATAATACCTAATTGTCGGTTTAGAGTGAGATGCGGCTTGTCGGCCTCTTTCCACGATCCGTCGAATGCATAATCTTGATGCCACATCATTGAAATAATTGTGCCTGGTTGATACGTCGTATGTCTGTTCCGTCCAATATTCGTGCATTAGAAACACCCTATTTTTCTCTTATGGTTTGTTTGACTTCTTACTATCTGCACTGCGATGTAACCCCGAATGTTCATTCGGTTCGTATCTGTCTCCATCAGTGCCAAATGATGAATCCACAGGAAAGCCTCCATGAGTCCAATGCCCTCTCCGAATTGCCGGGTATGTATCGAAAACCGCGTCTGGGTCAGGCAAGAAAACTGACAATGGCCGATCAGGAGGCTGGGGACCATTAATACCGTTGCCATCCCAGTCCTGGGTCGCAAGAATTCCGGTTACTCCAGTTGCTCCAGTTGCTCCA